GGCTTGTTATTTGTACAAGCAGTTGCAGGAAACCTGCTCAGCTCCCTCCCCTTGGTATTAAGCCAGCATTCAGCCTTTGCCCAGATTTTGCCTCAGCCATTTGACAGGTGACTAATTGCTGCTTTCCCCATCCTTAGTAGGCTGGCCTAAAACCCATCCCCTCATGCCATGCTTGAATAGAAGATGACTCCAAGAGTTCTCTTCAACAGCTTTCAGTAGCACAAACAGTAGCCGGCAGATGTTTTCCATGGAAAGGGTGGGCTCAGTGATGATGCAGAAGGTCATAGCACTTTCCCTGGCCCTCCCAAGTTTGACACATGGAGCTTTGATTAATGACATTCAGGCTCCCCACCCCAGGAGTTCATCCCTTTGCAAAGTCAGCAAGCAGTGTCCACTTTTTTTGCAGATTGGTCATTCCCTCCTGTAAAGTTTCACCACAGCAAGGAATATAAAACAGCCACGTTGTAGCACATTTGGTTCATGGTTTCCTTTGAGCATCAGGTCAGGATGAGAAGTCTGGGAAGATTCAGACAGTCCCAGATTTCTTGGTTGCCCTTTCTCCTCTTTGTATGTAGTGTTATATCATTTCTTCTTTTTCAAAATTCATGATTCAGAAGGGCTAAATAGAATCCAGAGTTGTTCAATTCCTAGGAAAGAGGAAGTACTCCATACTTTATACAAAAAATTGAAATCATGCCTCTTCGTGTAGATCTAGGGACACCCTGACTAAATTCTCAGTTCTCTATTTTGGCCATAATAACATTTAAATTAACTTTTCTTGCATTTGCAGATACTGTAACTGTATGAAAAATAAGTCACAGATACTGCAGTTGTCACTTCTAGTATATCTACTGCTGTTTTGTTTTTGTTCCATATGATTGGCTCATTACCTTCATACACAGTTCATATGAAGAAATTTAAGTCACCATGGCTGATTTAATCGCAACATACTGAATTAACATGAAATCTCAAGGATATGAAACAGTTCATCCATACAGTTCCCCTTAAAAAGCATAAAGCTGTCAACCTTGTATTAGTTGTAGTGTCATTAGCCCACTTCAGAGATTCCTAGATGAATCACATCTAGGAGGATGTGACTGCACATCCTCACGGTGGTCTGAGGCCAACAGGGTGATCAGCTTCAGGGAACCCCACCCATAGCTAGCAAAGGATGAACCACAGACAAGGAGGAGACAGGCTCATTTTTGAATGTGTGAGAAGTTTACAAACTAATGTAATTTTTAAACTCCAGGAAACAGAAGACTCCTTCTGAAAGGTTTTTAAATACAGTTTTCTGCGGGTTTTGAAAATCTGATACGATCCCAGGATTCTGCATTGACTTCAGCCTGTAGGGAACACAGTTCATAGCTTTGGAAAATGCTCCCATGGCTTTGCTGTCTGGATCAGGACAAATATGAAGTTGGATTTTGATGAAATCATAATAACAGGATTTGAGCAGGGGTTCTCAAGTGGAGTGCACACTTTGGGGGCAGATTTTTCCAAGTCTCTAAGCACCTCCCAGCTCTCTACATTAACATCTCTTGAGTTAGGACTGTAATGCATGTTTTAAAAGAGTTCCCACTGAATACTCGACTTACGCTGAGTTTTATACGTTAAACAAGGAAGATAATGCCAATGACTTGTTGGTTTATTTTTGATTCTACCTTTGTTCCCAAATCTAATCAATTGTTAAATAGGGTTGTCTGATTATAACCATTAGTGAACAAAAGTGTGCTGGCATTTCAAACCTGGGAGCTAGTATCTGCCATCATGGTCACAGATAAAACCAATAATCAGGTTGGGTGGCTTTATTTAAGCAATTACCCTTGTGAAGACACAGTTGTAAACAGAAATCTCATTTGTAGATATAATTATTTGTTAAAATAAAAATAATTAACACCTCATTTTGAATCCAGTATGAGTAAAATACACTATTGGTATGCATAATTCTTCCTTAGATTTAAAAATAAATTGCCAATTTACCATTTATTTGGTAGTTTCTTTCATCTATTAAATGCCTATACTTGCCAAGGACTTTCAAGGCATGGGGAATGCAGTAGTGAACAAGATTGAACTCTCAGCCTTCATAGAGCTTATATGTAAACAGGGAAGACAGACTACAAAAGATAAAGAAATTAAATGTATAGTGTACTACATGGTGATGAATTATTTTGGTGGGAGTCTACTGTGTTCCTGGGATTGTTAGATACACAAAGACAGATCACTGTCTTCAAAGAGTTTGTAATCTAGTACAAATACTTGTTGAATACCAGTTAGGAACATGGTAATAATTCATACAAAACAGAAAGAACTTCAAAATACTGTGTTAAAGTATGCCAACGGCTGTGTGCCTATATCACAGGAGCATTTCTCTGTCATGTTCCAGCTATTAATGCATGCTGCTGTTGATGTGGGCCCATAGAGCTTTTCAGCCTGTATGTGTCTTCCTCACTTCCTTTTTTCTTTTGGTTCACCTTTCCCTTTTAATTTCCTTTCCATAACAGAGTTTTAGTATTGTTTTGTTCTTACTGACTTAATGTACTGCATTTATGGAAGAGTTTTGCATTCCCTTTTCTTAATTTTAAAAGCAAGCCAACAAGATGTTGATAATCAACAGAAAAAGATTGCATTAGTTTTCAATTTATGTTGTCCTTTGAGGTTTTGTGAGGGTTTTTTCCACTCTAACTGGAAAAAATATTTGGGAAAAAGTTAGAGGTACTAGAGTGAGACTAGTCATTTATTATTATATATTGCAAAGTTTGAGCCCAATTCTTCTTAGTTATAAATATAAAGCAGATGGTTCTATTTGGTCTGATACAATAAGACCAAATTAATATGGAAAGCCCTCCAGATAGGCATTGCTCTGTAACCCATTTCCACACACACACATACACATTTTGTTCCACTCTGTTGACTGAGCCTCATGGACTGATAGTGCCTCCTCCTTTCAGATTATGGATTTGTTTTGGTCGGTATGTTGGCATGAAAAGGTAATATTCATATAGAAAAAGGCCAGGCTATAAGTGTACATCCCCACATGATCACTACCTACATCAAAAAAATAAGAACATTACCGACATCTACCTGCCATACCTTGCCCCCATTCCTTCCCCAGTCACTCACACCTTCTCCTCTAGGTAAACACAATCCTGATTCAGAAACTCAGAACCATTTTGCCTATTTTTGGACTTTATACAAGTGGAGTTGTACCATCTGTGTTACTTTTTCAGGTGTCTTTTTAAGTCAAGACTACATTGGTGAGATTGATCCATGTCTCACAAGTAGCGTTAGTTTCCTTCCTTTCCTGTTTTTAATTACATGGTGAGGGCATTTATGCAATCTACTATTGAACATCTGGATTGTTTCCAATTTAGGGATATTATAAATACTTCTACATGTCCTTTGTGTGAATTCACATGTGTGACTTTTTTCAGATTGGTAAGAGAATAATTGCTGTCATAAGATCTACATATATTCAGCTGTAGTAGAGGCCATTTCGCCAAAATGTCTCTAACAATTAACATTTCACTCAGCAGTATATGGCAGTTCTAGTTCTTCTCGTTCTTTCTGGCACTTGATTTTAGAACTGTTTAATTTTACCATTCTAGTAGGCATGTAGTCGTTCCTCATAGTTGTAACTTCTATTTCCCTGATAACTGATGGTGTTGAACACAGATGTTTATATGTCTTTTAGATAATCCTCTTTTAAAGTTATTTTTCAAATTGTTGCCCATTTTTCTTCTAGGGGAGTCTAAAGTTGTATATCTTTTCCATATATTATGCTATTCTGTGCCTTTTGATGACTAGCTGTTAATTTTAATAGAGTTCAGTCCTTTCCTTTATGGTCCTATTAAAAACCCCTCTGCTTCTATTATAAAGATGTTCTCTGATATTATAGTCTAGAATTTTTAGATGTACATTTAAGTATACAATTCAGTTGGAATTGATTTTATATGTAGGTTTGAGGTAGGATGTCAAGATTCATTTTCATATGTATATAATATATATAATTCATATAAATAATCTCAGGACAATTAGAATCTGGGTTTTTTAGCAATAAACTTTTAAATATTCAAATAGTTTCAGATTATAGAAAAGTTGCAAAGATATACTTCCCACTCAGTTTCCCCCTCTTGTCATCTCACATTACTGTAGTCCATTTTTCATAGCTAAGCAATCAATATATTAGCTAAATATATGCAGGTCAGGGGCATTAATTTTTGACAAATGGAAGTGCCAATGAGAAATGCTTTGAGGTCACTGTTATACCTCAAATAACTAAAAGTCCATCATAGTCCTTGGACTCCTAAGCAGGATAACTTAGCGGGCTCAAAAGGTGTGACCTCGGGTCACACTCTGAAAAGGAAATGTGGAAATCTTCCAGTGAAAGGTCTCCGTGTTTGTATTCATGCACTCATCCCGAGTTTTGAAGACTCTGCCTTTGTCGGTTTTAAAATTATTCTTCTGATGAACAGTTTTTTTAGTCAGTTTTAAAGTAAGATGCCGTGAAGGAGAACTCAGTGTACCCCTTGGCCTTGTGAGTGCAGAGCTGTATCCCTGACTCATTCTCCCTTCCCTTCTTACTCTAGCCCTGGAGAATGTCTCTATGTCCCTGGTTCTGAGGAAAGCAAGGCAGCCACTGAGACTAACATCTCTTTTACTATTTTCTCTCATGTCTCTTGTCCCTTCTACAGTATGACAAATTTCAGTGATGCCAGTGTGGGGAAAAAAAGAGTGTCTGTGGCTGTCTTATCTATTTTTACTTTTTAACTTAAAGTACAGACCAAGCCTCAATGACCATTTGTCACTTTGAGAGCAGACATTTGAGCTATAGTGAAAAAGCAAGGAATACCAGCCAGTCACCTTCATTAATATTTTATGAAAAACCCATTGTTCTTTAACCCAGCCATCAATCCCTACCCTGGACATCACTTGTAGCTGACATGGTGACTTTGGCGTGCATACTTGAGTTGTTTTGTCTTTGTCCTGCCTCTCCTCAGTACCATGAGCTCCCGTCACTCTGCCAGCCCAGTCGTTTTCTCCAGTGCTAGAAGTTCACCTAAAGAAGAGCTTCATCCTGCCACCTCCTCGCAGCTCGCACCTTCCTTCTCCTCTTCCTCCTCCTCCTCCTCTGGTCCTAGGACTTTCTACCCTCGTCAAGGAGCTACTAGCAAGTACCTGATTGGATGGAAAAAACCTGAAGGAACTATTAACTCCGTGGGATTTATGGACACAAGAAAGTAAGAGTTCTTTTCCTTCTCTTGTTTTCAAGATGACAGAGAACAGAAAGGGTTAGAGCTATTTCATACAGCAGAGGAGGCCAGGTGGGGTTTGTTTGCTGAAAGGATTATTTTTTTTTCTATAAAATTTTTCTTAAATTATTTCTCTGCTTCATTCCCTGAATAAGATTTATATTTGGGGCTATGAGTCTTAACTCTTCTAGGAAATAGTGTTATCTGAAGGACGCATGGCAATCTTAGCCTCTGATACAAAGACTACTTTTTTGTTTTAAGACAGGGTCTCACTATATAACCCAGGATAGCCTACAACTCACTCTGTAGCCTAGGCTGGCCTAAAACTCTCAATTTTCTGCCTCAGGCTTCTAAGTGCTGGGATTAGAGTCAGTTATCACCACACCCAGCTTTTAACTGGGCCAGTAGGGCCAGGGGCGTATGAGAAAGTGAATAAGTACACCTGAGAATAAATGACCTTTTGACACAGTAGTACACCCAAAAATTAAATGATTCTTTATGTCATTTTGTTTTGTTTGTGTAAATGTGCATTTAGGATTCATACCCTGTGGTCTTTCAGTAAATCTGTTGTTAATTTTGACATAGGAGAACTAATAGTTTCCCACAGAATGGTTTATTTATCAAACTTTCTTTTTTTCTTTCTTTCTTTCCCATGTCTCCCAGTTCACAATACAGACCAGGTACAGAGCCTGGACTGAGGTATATATGGAGTAGGTTTACTTTGCCTCCTCTTTCTGTACAGTCAGTGTAAGAAAACAGCCTGTGGTAAACACCAGGAGGCCAGTTTTATTTCTTTAACAAGCATTTATCTGAGTAGATTCTGATTTAAACAGGAGTAACTCTTTTTCTCTCCTTTTACATTTCTCCATTGACTACCATCCTTTACAGACCATCAAATCCTCAAATCAGCCTTACTGATCTGGTTTCCACCATGTCTTCTGTTTCTTTGTAGGCGTCATCAGAGTGATGGAAATGAGATATCCCACACCAGGCTGCGTGCCTCAACGAGGGACCTCCGGGCATCTCCCAAGCCAATCTCCAAGTCCACCATTGAGGAGGATCTAAAGAAACTCATTGACCTTGAAAGCCCAACTCCTGAATCACAGAAGAACTTTAAGGTACAGGACAGGATTGAGCATAAAGAGCAGTTAGAGAGAAGCCAGGTGTGATGAGGCTTTGTACCACAGTTATACCTTTCAGAGGGCCTGGGTTACTGTCTGCTCTTCACTGGATCTCTCTTCTTGTCCTCACCCAGTTTTCTCAGTGACTCTCACAGTGCTCTATTCTCACAGCCACATCTTTTTAGTCTCAGTTCCTATTAAGCTGTCCCTCCCCCGCAGCTGTTCTTCCTCTAACATATTTTACTCAAGGTATGTAAGTCCTTGATCCTCACTTACACAGCATCATTTCACAGAACTCTGCAGATGCCTATGGCTTCAGAAAGTTTGCCACAAGCCTTCAGTGCTTTCTGTCCATGGAGTCCTCCTCCTCTCACAGATGCTCCCAGCACACCTGCTGGCCTCTTTGTCCACAGCACTGTGCTGAACGAACACACACACACACACACACGGAAATAGACAGCTGCCTCTTCAGTCCTGCAAACTCAGTCTACATCCTTCCCTTCAGAACATTCCAGATCTCTGTACTTCATAAAGCCTTCTCTTTTTCCCTCCCAATTCTAGACTATCCATGTTTTCCCTAAAGCCTAGCTTTGCGCTCCACCAATTCCAAATGCTTGTCCAGCGTTTGTGTTTATGTGTCAGTGGTCAGACATGTGTAAGACCACACAGCAAGGTGCTCTGCTTCCCTGTGCTCTGCAGTGTGTCTCACACTCCAAGCATCAGAGTTTTGTCTGTTCAACTGGGCCCGAGGAATTTTTTCTTTACATGTGTAAGGTGTCTCTGTCCAGGATATATTGGGCAACCCTAGGAGAAGGGAATCCATCCCAGGAATGTCATTGCAGTAAATTTTGAAGGTTCCCTGTTCTTGAGTTTCTCAGTTCAATGATTTACATCTTGTTTGAAGTGACTAGAAAGCTTTAATTTAGAACTTGGAGAATGGATGAAAAATATTTTTCCTCACCTACTCACTCACTTCTCACTGAGATCAGAGTGGAAGAGGTGAACCAGGCAGGAAGCACCATGTGCTCTTGTCACCTCTGGACTTTCCTGGCACCACTTTCATGTGTGTGGCACATGCACACACACATGCATTTCCCCCAGATAGGTCAGATGGACCTCCCAAACTCAAAAAGCAGCATTTACAGGAACTCAGTATGCTCCCAGGACCACTCTAGAGTTTTGATGAAAAATAAATGATTTATTAACATTAGTTATTATGTTACTGAATCATTTTATTGATGCAGCCATTTTTTACTTCTGTCATTTCTGTTTTAGAAGCCAGCACTTAGCAGTTCTGACTCATCATCCAGGGTACAAATGGTTTCCTTAGCAACCTTGCAAAAGATAGTCCTTGAAACTTCTCTCTTTATCCATCAAAAACACAAGGAGGTGTATTAAAATTTTTTAAGTACTAGTTTCAAAATAAAAATCATTTCAGACTTTTTCTCTGAGTTCAGAGGAAAATAAAACCTGCCCTGAAAGGAATCGTTCCTCTAATTCCTACTTTAACATTTTTGGCGAGGAGCATACCCAGAGCCCTAATTCCTCTGATACACTCAGACAGTGGAAATAATTGAAGGCAAATGTGTTTTGCCCTTGTTCCAGGACTTGGCTTTTATTTCAAAAATGAATTACTTTAACATCCCTATTTGAATCAGGGGTGCACTTTCCTTATGTTGTGACTATATTAGCATGAGACCCTCTGCCAGGAAGGGTCCCTCTGTCTGCTTTCTCTACCCCATTGTTGGGGGCAGACTGGGAGCAGGAGCTGGGAATATGCTGTTCTCTTTGGTTTCATCCTTTTTCATCCTTTTTGAGCTGATTTGATTTCAAATCAGTTCAGCTAAGTAGCTCCATGTGTCTTCAGAGAGTCATCATCTGAATGACTATGCTCTCCTGTATCAGGGAAGCCAGTGTGTCCTTGAGAAGTCTTTCAGGCCAAACCCTGGCTTGCGGCTCCGAGCCACCACATCAGGCTTCAGGGTACTATGAGAGGCCAGCTTTGGGCTGTGAGACTTAGAATCCACTCACACAGCACAATGGCTTTCTGGGATGGCTAGAGCTATCTGTGAGCTAGCACTTCCAGGCTCATTTGCCAGCAGAGCGGCATGCTTGTAGCAGAACACGACAGCATTCTGCTGAGCAGGCTGTAGCCAGGAGTTAGGAGCCCCTAACCTCCTGCCTCGAGAAAAGTGGCAGAGCCATCGCATCTACCACGGGCAAGTGAACAAGACACAGTGCAGACCTCAGCTCTGCTTTCCAGCCAGTGCTCTGGGTGTAGAGCAGAGGAAGAGGTTTCTCGTGGTATCAGTGTTTAGGAAAAACTTATCAGCTTATGGTGAAACCAGGTAAGATATGTCACTGACAGCCAGGGAGCTGGAGAGGTTGAGAGAAGAGGTGACTGACAGAAAGAAAGCAAGAAGCCGGCTCCCCGGGCCCTGTATGTTAGTTATGGAATAGAGGTACAGATTTGGGATCATTGATCTCCAAATGGATTTAGAGCTCAGGAGTTCTTGGTTGGTTGTTTTGTTTTAAGCAAAATCACACATGAAAGCCCAATATGTAGAACTATGCTTCTCTGGTAGAAGAGATGGCCTGGGTTCCTGGGTCCCTGGATCCCACAAAAACCTCTTTCCCTAGCAGTGGTGTTGTAAGAATTCCATCAGGGTCCTTGGAGCAAGTTTGGAAATTTCTCTTAATCAGCCTGAATGCTCTCTGAAATCCTTTCTGGATCTGTCACTGGACTCAGCTGTGATTCTTTGCCAAGGGCTGTGGGCACCTGGCAGTGGCCCTGGGCAATCCCAGATACCATCTGTAAAGCAGTCAGGGTATCTTAGGGAACAAGGACAAGTTGCACATCTTTAAGACCATGAGTTGAAGAAGTATGAGGCAAGGGGCCATGACAACATTTTTGGACAAAACCAGCTGCTGCTGCATTTTAAAAACCAAAGAGCATGTAGGCAGCTGCTTCCTCCACTCTTTCCCTGCCTTTCTGCAGTACAGGACACAGTAATCTCTAATAAAGCACACCTCCTAGAGGATATTGAAGTCTGTTAGTGTTTCCCAAAGAGGCTGAAACTAGAATTGTTAGAGAACTTGCCTCCTGTACAACCCTCAGGGCAGAGACTAGAAATGGAAATGCCTTTCCTCAAAACCAGAAGTGCTAAAAAACGATTTAGCAGCACTTTTGGAATACAGAGATGGAAGATCCGGCCTGGAGAGCAGGAGCCTTATATGATAGCCCTGGAATCTTGAAGACAGAGGAAAGTGAGCTATTTTTTAAAAGAACAAAAGCATAACTACAGTTTGCAAACTATTTAACCTCTCTAATACCCATTCTTCCTCATAAAGTGAAAAAGGAATTGTCATCTCCACACCACAGTCTCACTTGCAAAGCCTTCATCACAGCAACTGAATTTTCTAGGCACACTTGTATGTACCTTGGATGCAACTTCATGAATTTTTAAAGTGAACATGACTTTTTCCCAGTTGGCTATACCTTGGGTTTGTCTCTTGAATAATTTGTGCAGGCATCTGTGCCCCCGCACCTCAGGTAGCTTTTACTTGATTGTTGTACAGAAACATGCCAGGACCCAGGGCACATGAATGAACCTGAGTGTCAGCTCCATGTGGGAGCTGGGCTTATAATATCAGCCACCTAAAGGAGCTATTGCTAAATCACTCTCTCTTTACCCTCTCAGATTGTGGTGGGAAGTCCCACGGTGGCGTTTTGCCAACATTGACTCCTCCTTGCATCTTCACTCCCGTGTTATTCCACCACCAGGGTCAAATAAGGAGTTCCTATGAAGAACTGAGAATGACTTGGTTGTTAATGGCCCAGATACACCTTTGACTTCTAGGTTGCTGGATATTGAAGTTTTGTGTATCTGTTTCTCAGTGAAAAGGATTCTTAGAAGCTTTACTATCTGTAGAAAATTTCTCAAACCAAATTTGGTCACAAAAGGCAAAACATACCCACAAGAGATAAATCTATCCAGAAGTATTTGTCATTCATGTATAAATTTTAGAAAGCTGATTTCCCTATTTCATGAATAGAAATGCATCTTTAAGCCAGGCCTATGGCACACACCTGTAATCCTAACACTCAGAGAGCTGAAGCAGGAGGACCAAGAGTTTGAGGCCAGTCTGGGCTATTTGGCAAAACTACATCTTCAAAAAAATAATCTCCAAAACTCATGAAATCCATGAGAAGTTCTGTTAATGTAACTTAGTAATTAATGTTTATTACCAGCCACCTATTATTTGAGTTAATATGTTTTGATGATCAAATGCCCTTGTCACCCAGGAAACATATTGTCACTTGACAAGATTTTGAGGCTGCCCTGCCTGTTCTGTGGCTTTGTCCCCTTGAGACCATGACATCGTTTTGCAGCACCACTGATAAGCACCATTGTGATTGCCAGCTTTTCGCTTAAAACTTAGAGTAATTCTGACAGGTGTTGTGCCCCCCATTTCATAGACAAGGCATCAGGTCTCAGAAGATGACATGATTTGGTCAAAGACACAGAATCCAAATAAAACTCACATTTATCTGATCCTAAAGTCTTATCCTTAACCATCTCGTGATGTTGATAAATCCACTAAATGTCAAGTCTGAGTTACAGATAGCACTGCTATGCGCAGCCAGCATTCAGTGCTATGAGAAGGAGTAACTGGAAACCCCTTTTACCTCCTGGAGGATGTAGAAATAGAAGGGGACTCCAGGATTGGAAGAGACTTCCCCAGAGCAGTGACCTCATTACCCCGTCCACCCTGACCTTGGTCTAGGGTATCTCAGCCAGAACACTGATTCCTGTTTGTCTTGATTGTTTTCCAGTTCCACGCGCTATCCTCTCCTCAGTCTCCTTTCCCCCCGACCCCCACCTCACGGCGAGCCTTGCACAGGACGCTGTCAGATGAGAGCATTTACAGTGGTCAGAGGGAGCACTTCTTCACCTCAAGGGCTTCGCTTCTGGACCAAGCCCTGCCCAACGACGTCCTTTTCAGCAGCACATACCCATCTCTCCCCAAATCCCTCCCGCTGCGGAGACCATCTTACACTTTAGGAATGAAGTCGTTGCATGGTAAGTGTACCTGCAGTTGCAGGTGAGCAGCCCTGTGGAATAGCCAGTCCTGCTTCATTCTCAGATGATCTCCACATACCAGCCCCCTCCCTCCTGGAACCCTTCTTTTCCTACAAGAGTCACCTGAGATGCTTGTTAAAAATAGATTCCTAGACCTTACCCAAGACCTGCTGAATTTGAATCCCCAAAGGAACAGTCTGAGAATTGGTATTGTTATCAGACATCCCATCTGCTATTGGGGTTGGGCAAATGTGGCCAATACTCGATTTTTTCTCCAGTTCTATCCCCAGTTTCCCATAGGCACTCTAGTAACCCAGACCTACCACTACCCTCTCTTTCCCAGACTGTGACAATATTGCCTGTGGTGTCAGTCACCCATTTGGCCACTCCATCCATCCATCTATCCATCTAGCAAGCAAGCATTATTTAAGGAAAAGGCTAACTGATAATGGGCACCTTTGTGTTCTGGCTTCTTGGTTCATATATGCCATGTTTGCTCTGTGACCTAATCAGGTCCCAGTTTTATCATGAGCCATATTCTGGGACTTTGGACTTAAATTGGTCTTTTCCTTTCTCCTGTCTGTCCACATCTGCTCCAGGGTTCTGTATCTTCCCTGGCAGCCATGGCTCAGCCCAGCAGATACCTGTCAAAGGATCTTAGGTGCCTGATCATTTATCACACATGGCTGTGACCCCACTGCCCATCTGCCCTTTTTCCTTCTGCAAATTCTCCTGCAGCCTTTACATCTCTTCTGTGCATTCTGACCCACTTTCTTCTCCTCCTCTGAAGCCATATTTTCTAAGCCTGCTGCTTGCCCTGCACCATTCTCAAATTCTCACCTACACTCAGTTCTCTGTATATCTTCATCCTCAGTCACCTGGTCCCACTCTCTCACCATGACATACCCCACTCAAGGATGGTGCTGTCTTCCCCCCACTCCTTCCTCCACCCACCTGCAACTTAAGTCTAGTTTTGCTCTGCTACAGGAAGTCACTTCTAATGATCACTCCCTGCTATCAGACCCTAGAATAAACTTTTTGGTAGTAACTTAACATGCCCCTCACCCTTTTCTCTCCTTTTCTCAACCTGCTGGAGGCACTCTGCTGAATTCCATTACTCCTACAATTTCCTGCTTGAATGTTTCTCTTATTTCTCTGCATTTGTTTTAACCATTGCAAATAAAATGAGTCCTCTGTGCATCCTGTCTGCATGTGTATGTCAAAGTGAGCCTTGCCTCCTAGAGGCTCACATTCCAATAAAGAAGCCTGGAAATGCTCTTACTCATATGAGGTCACTGAGGCAGCCTTAGGTAAAGCATGTGTAAGCCCACAGAGCACTTGTGGAAAAGGAAGGGAAGTAACAGGCCACCTCTTAGAGTATCTTCCTGTCTTGCTTTCCTCTAAGCCAGGTGGCAGCTGTGGTGACGTCATGTACCAAATTGAGCAGTCCTTGTGGGACTGATTCCTCAGCTTGTGCCTCCCGTGGTGACTACTACTCGGGAATGAAGAAGGGTTTTTTGTCTTCTCCCTATGTAGAAATTTGGGTCCTAGAGATAAAAGGGCAGAACGGTTGCAAGTGACACACAAAAATTATCTGTTTCACCTTTTTTGTTCCATCCTTGGTGGGATCAAGTTTAAGTAGAAATGAACATTTAATATCTTGCAGTATTTGTTAAAATCCATTTACTCATAATTTTGCTAAATTTAAGCACATTAATAACTAGCAGCTGCACTTTGGAGCAGTTCTTTACGTAATTTGAAAGGGAAAACAAGCACTAAATATACTCTGGCATACCAGCGTGGCATAATAGATGAAAACTTTTTAACCCTTTGTAAACAGGCATTTCTAGAGTCATAGATTGTGAGACTTTTATTTTGAGCTCTGAGTCCTCATGGACATTAATGTCACATTCTGAGGAAGTCCTCCTGGAAATACAGTCTGTCAATTTTCCACCCCAGCTTCTGCCTCTTGAGGACATTTATGTTTCAGAAGCTATGCCTTCCCAGCCAGCACAGCCCTTCCTTTCTGTTGTCTGCCTCTGTGAATGTGAGCAGTGGCAGCCCTCAAATGGCACAGAGTAGCTCCCAGTGCCTATTCCTCCCTGCCCAGGCAAAACAAGGTTATTTGTTGTGATGGCAATTGTTAACAATGGTTTAATACCCATATTAAACAACCTGTTAACTTAGGGAGAGATGGGCATTGGATTGCTGTAACCAAAACTGATCCAAGGATTTGCTCCTACCATGCCCTTGGGTCCTGGGGAAGAATAATAATGCTGGTACCAAACCCAAAGTTCCTTTCCTTGGTTTGCTTTTATGATGACCTAGCACTCTCACGTGATCTGATTTGCTTCTCGTGCCACCTGTGTGTATCTGGCCATGGGAGCCAGTGGGCCATCCCTGGGGTGCAGGGAATATGTGGCCCAGGGATGCATCTGTCCCTCACCAGTCCCACGGGTGTAGTCTGTAAAGGTTGGGGATCCCAGTCCGGATAAAATAAGTCCCATTGTCCCCTCTAGCAGGAATAAACATCCTTGAGCTGGGTCTCTCTTGGAATAGGCTTCTTTCCAGCCTGAATCCCTTGACTTCATGAGGGAGAGCTGAACATTAGAGCCACTCTGGCTCCCACTGAGGACAGACAGCTCCTCCAAAGTAGAACTATTGCCCCAGTGCAAAACTAACTTCCCCATGACTCACTTCTGGAGATATGGTGGGAGGAGATTTTAGAAATAAGGAGAGACTGGAGGAAGCCAGTTCTTATTTCAGATCAGCTTTAGAATGGCCATCATTGGGCTGCTAGACTAAAATTTATTCCAGCAACAAATATCTTACACATCTATTGTGGTGACAGGAAATAAGTTCTTGAGTGATTCTCCTATGGACACAAGCATTTTCTTTCATCCCCTTCTACAGGAGAGTTCTCTGCCTCAGACAGCTCCCTCACTGACATCCAGGAGACCCGAAGGCAGCCCATGCCTGACCCTGGCCTGATGCCCCTGCCTGACACTGCCGCAGATTTGGATTGGTCCAACTTGGTAGATGCTGCCAAAGCATATGAGGGTGAGTCAGTCTACTAGTAATCCAAAAGGGTGGCCCAGGATCCTGCTGAGCTATGCTGTGGTGTGTCGTGGGGTAGGTGTGATCAGGTCCGTCCGTTCTGCCCCTCTGCACATACTGACAACATATGTACTTCACCTGCACAGCTGGAGCCCAGTCAAGTAACAGTTATTGAGCACTCAGAAGGGGCAAGACTCTGGGCTTAGCATGTGTTCTACTTAATCAGATGAAACCTAGTATTTTCTCTACACAGGAACCTATAACATGACTGCCCGACCTCCCCCATATGTGGGCAGAGCAAAAGGTAGAGAAATCTGAGCTGTCACTTGACTAAAAAACACATGTATTCCGAGAGGGTCTTTCATCGTGTTATAAAGATATCATTGCAATGCACAGTTGGATGTCCGGATGCTTGTCCTGCTTGGCCATGCTCGATCTGGACATGTGTGGGCTCTTCCTTTGCCCTTCCCATTCACTTCTCCATGTGCAGCAGCACATTTTCTGTCTCTGTTGTTCCCATGTCAGTCTATTGGCTGTGTGCTTGCTTTTGGCTAATGCTTCATTCTTAAATACAGGGCTGTAGACTCAGACTGGTCTGATGAGCTGAAATAAGAAAACTAAAAGCAGTGCAGAGCATGTTGACATAGGTTGTCAACTGTCCTTTCTTGAGTAAAGACTGACTTTTTTCCAAGCTTATCATCCTCAAATGTTTGATGCTAAAATGTTCTTTATAAAATTATGATAGCAAATGATCAGGGAGGTTTTTTTGTTGTTATTGCTCTTATTTGGGAGAACTGAAAGTTGCTAAGGGCTGGCAGAGTGGCTCAAGTGGTAAAGCACCTGCCTAGCAAATGTGAGGCTGAGTTCAAACCCTAATATTGCCAGAAAAAAAAAAAAAAGAAGATTTGGGAGGCGGATAAAGGAGAATGGTGGAGGGGATGAATTCAAGTGTGATATATTTGATATATTGTAAGAATTTTTGTAAATGCCACAATGTACCCCCACCCGGCACAACAATAAAAAAAAAGAAGTTGTTATTCTGTCGGGTTGCAATTTGGGGAGGCCATAGAGACCAGAAGACCAGTGACTATGGGGTAGTCCACAGTGAGTCCCCATGCCCATATCTGTGTTAATTTAGCTAATGAAAATTATTCCCCAGTACTAACTTGATTTTCAGTTTGCTGGTTAATCTCCTTCATATGAATTTTAAATTGGGATATTTTGAAGCACAGGTAGTGTTGACTTATGGTAAAGCCCACCAGAGTGGCCAGGCATCTTATAGAAAACATACTTCAAGAAGTTTCAAGGCCTAGAGGTGTGGCTCAACTTGTAGAGTAAACTGCCTAGCAAGCATGAGGTTTCTAACACCTGAGCTGTCACTTGACTGAAAAAACTTGTATTCTGAGAGGGTCTTTCATCATATCATAAAGATGTCATTGCAGTGCACATTTGGATGTACTGCCACAAAAAAAAATTCAGGAAGCCTAATTCTAGGTCTTTAATGCATTGATATCACTACTAAGTGGAAAGGCTTCTTTATAGTGAAATATTTAATAGAATGCTACTTTGATAAACAGGGAAAGAGGGGGACTAGAAATTGATTCATAAAAACTATTTTTTTAAAGCAGTCACAGAATTAACTGTCCTTTATAACTAAAAGAGTAATAGCTTCCCCATGAGGATTAGGAAATGGACTTCATTCCATGTAGACCACTTGTTGACTTTAGGTAGTAGGATGCAGGGATATGGTTCCAAAATATTCAGTTGTTTTCTCATCTTCCTTTAGTCCAGAGAGCCTCATTTTTTGCTGCTAGTGATGAAAACCATCGGCCCCTGAGTGCAGCATCCAACAGTGATCAGCTTGAGGAACAGGCTCTGGTCCAGATGAAGTCATACAGCAGGTTGGTCACCCAGTGGTGAGGGCACCACTCCGCAGAATGTATCATCCCCAATAGTGACAGATGCGACGTAGAGGAGACAGAAGGCACATGGATTAGCTGAATGAAGCTCATCACAACTCTGCCACTTTCCTTTTCACTTAGAACACTTTATAACTAAGTACTGGAAACACAATTAAAAAGTATTCTTGATGATTTAAGGTAAAAATTATGAATACCCACTATTATTATTTAATGCTGTAATACATTTATGCCCCAGGTCTTACTATATATATAAAGTAAGAGAAATCAACTGTATGTCCCTGGGCACTGTGTGATTTACTCCTGGATTCTGCGTTTTTAGCGTCTTTCCCAGCTACCCTGATAGCCATGTTGTTAATGTGCCACATCTTAGCATCTACAAGTGCACTCCTCATATCTCCTATGTTAGAAAACATGATCTCCCAGATGGTTAAGAAAATTGTAAAATATGGAGGGAATAAGCAGTAATCAAGAGTTTATTCTGAGTTAAGAGCATGGACTTTATGCTGCTATTTAACTCAGCAGAGGCTGAGTTTTTTTTTTTCTTAGTTTCAGATGGTGAGGTTGTAGGCTAGAAAAATCCAGGTTGCTGTGGGCTGTACACACACATACACATACACACATATGGTGTAGTGTGGGACTCATGCTTGAGGAACCCTCTGAACAAGCCTACAGGATTGTGCTCTTAGAGAAAAGTATGAGTGGTTTCTCGTTCATGTGAATGTAACAGAAATGCCATACTTACTTTTACCATTGGGACAGCTGGGGTGAGTGAGCAGCAGTTTTACTACTGAGAACTTTAAAAAATAATCATCACCATCACAGACCCCAAAGTTTGTCGTCTTAGGATAAGATCTCCAACAAGGAGAAGTCTGAGTCAGACCGTCAGATTGTTTTCTGGGAAGGGTCATTATTGTAGACCCTTGCCATGATTCAATACAGACTGACAAATACAGATGTAGTTAAATATGTTTTAAAATGTCAGCAGTGCACTCAGACATAGAATTCGTATTTGAAGAACCTTTGGAAGTCAAGGTAGGCTCCTGAGAGTTTCATCAGTCCTAACAGCTGGTAGTGACTTTGTGAAGGACGTGTTACTCCCCACGCGCTGGCCTCCTGGTCTCTGTTTAGCACTACCCCAGTTCTACCACACCTCTGGCCTTCAACTCATCCCAAACTGATCAGTCTATTGGGCACATTGTGAATTGCAGCTGACCACTTCCCTTTTAAAAATCCAGTCATTGTTAGCTCTTGGTTGTCCTATCTGAGAAGTTTGGAGGTCATTATCCTTCATTCAGTAACCTTGTTACATTCCATGCCACTGTGAACTTTGCCTTTGGAGCCTGTTACAGACTTAGAATTAACAGAAGACATCAGCACGGTTCACTTTAGGTCAGGAATTCTAACTTGAACTTCAATTTTTAAAGTAAAGAGTATCTTTTAAAAGAATACCTTTTATCACATGATTGAGACAATTCGGGGTCACCACCTCTTCCCTTTGGCTTGGGAAAGGGGCAGGTGCACATTTTCCCAGTGGAAGACTTCAGTTCTCCTTTGTGGGATTCTGAGGTCACACAACATGACTAGAATTCACCTAGGAAACTGTTGGCAACTCAAATTCAGGTAGAGGAGGGGGAGAGAAAAAGAATTGACAGAAGTCCTCATCTCTGTGCCCTGAGAGTGGGGTACCCCCAGTTATGTGGGCTGACCACATAATGGCCTTCCATCCTATAATACTCCCTCCCCTTGTTACTAGCAGGGCATTATTAGCACTTAAAGTTTAAGAAAACTGATGATTGTAATGGCACAGAATTTAAGACATTAAGCTTAGACTGACGAGCTTTTAAATCAGATAGTCTTATTTTGAAATATTTGAAGGTATTTAGACTAGTGTTTAAGACATAAGCACAATATGTAGTGGCTACAGACCATTGTCTTGGCAACTAGAGACCTGTCCTGTCTTGGTGTCCCCAAGGCAGGTCCTGCATCAGCTCCCCAGTACACACAAACCACCACATGCAGTCGCTCTGTGACTACTGCAGCTTCCAGAAAGTACCTCTTGTGCTGCCAAAGAGACCTTTTTCACTCACTGTCACTTACTGTTAAAGAGGTAGCATCTTTAACAAAGGAAGCTATTGATTGGCTGTCCTTCAAACCTGTATTACCTTTTGTTAAGATCACCATCTTCTCTTTTAAAAGTAAAAGTGCATACCAGGTTGCTGTACTGAGTAAAATGACATTGAAAGCCATTTTACAAATACAGCCTCCTCAAATTAAAAAAAAAAAACAAACCAAAAACACCCTAGCCATGGAGGCTCTTGCAAACATGGCCTTCTTGTTTCTTGTTCCCAGCAGTAAGGATTCCTCTCCCACTCTGGCTTCTAAAGTGGATCAGTTGGAAGGTATGCTGAAGATGCTTCGTGAAGATTTAAAGAAGGTAAACATATTCTCAGCAAATTGCCCCATCTGTGGAAGCAAATCACCATGAACTGCGAGAGTTGTAGTGTTAGTAGAATGAGGTGTGGGTGTTTTCCCAGTGCAATTTTTCTGTGTGTATGGAATGGAGCTCAATTCCACTGATACACACAATGTGGGAAGGCCTCCATTGTCACGCATACAGAAGAATTGTTCACTTTTTTGGGAAAGCCTTTCTGGACCCTCTCCCAGCTTCCCAGTACTTCATGTAATATGTCATAGCCCAGAATCTCATGAGGTCCTTATTTTTCAGGCTTTTGAACCAGGAGAACTGAAAGTTGTTTTGTTTATTGGGTAGCTTTGACTTTGTCAACACAGCAGCCACCGAAATGGTCTAAAATTCAAGATAGTACTTCTTAACAAAGACTTGAAAATACACATTAATGTGGTCACATACTAAGCTAATCCTGTAGTATTAAATCTGGAAGCCCTGGGCTTAGGGTAGCTATGCCTCCAAGACTAGGCCATGTCCACAGGTGGTTAGTGGAATGAAGAATGAAAATGGGCTGACCAAAAGGGATCCGTGGCTACTTCTGCTGAGCTGAGCAAGGTGACACTACCCCTCCTAGTTTGTTTCTACTTTGCTTTCCTCCCAGGAGAAGGAAGACAAGGCTCACCTTCAGGCCGAAGTCCAGCACTTGCGTGAGGACAACTTGAGGTTGCAGGAGGAGTCACAGAACGCCTCAGACAAGCTGAAGAAGTTCACAGAGTGGGTGTTCAACACCATAGATATGAGCTAGGGACAGCTGAGGGGAGAGGAGAAGGGCACGCCGTGTTCTCTAGTAAGCCCCTGAAGCCCCTCATTCATGCCTTGGAAAGCATTCTCAGAGCAGCTTCCTCAGCTTCCCACTTGGCCCCCTTTTGGGGAGTGCACAACACAATTGCAGATCAACAATCATTATCTGCCTTTTGTAGAAAAGCAAAACAAAAAAGTAAATAAAAAATTTTAAAAAGTAAAATAAAAGTCTAACTGCTAAAATGTGAATGTCTTTATTTTTTTGCACAATATCTTTATCTGTTAGGTATTTAAAAAGAAACTGGGCCTAGGACCAGGGTCCCCCTGGCCCATCTGCCTCTATTTCCAGCAGCTTTCTGATCTATTTCAGGTAACCCAAGCTTTCCCTGTTATCCTGACAAATGTCATTTTTCCTAGGAAAAAAAAAGTTCATTTGTTTTTTTAACTCACTTATTTGGGGAGTGAGGAAGGGGATTCCTTACCTTCTTTCCTCAAATGCATAGAGAGAGAGCAGCTGTGAGGAAGACCTGCCTCCCTTGAACAGTTTGTGTATGAGCTGGTGCTGTTTGTACCTATCTTTCAGAGACCAGCAGGATCAGGGTCATTTCACAACAGAAGTTAGTAAACCAGAGAGGCATTGACAGTCACAGGCCTCCAGGCCACACCTTCTGATCCTGCATTGTGATACCACTTCCTATCCCTTCTTTCCCCAGGGAGATGGTCCCAGGTGTGCTCCTCAGAGCTGGAGCATTTTTTGTTTGGCTTAAGTGAGTCCCACTAAATTGGAATCAAACCCTCTACAGCTTCCTGGCTCCAAACATTAACTGATTCCAAATTCCCCAAACTAAAACCTTATCTGTATGCATTTTGAATGCATTTTAGTCAAAAGTCTATATAGTTTTTGTTTAAGATTTTAAGAGCTAAAGATGTAGCAAGATTGTTTTAAGCTTGCTCAAAATAACTAAATAAATTAATAAATCTTTTTCACCAAAGCAAGACTTCACCTTTGTAATTACGAAAAGCTAACAGTGAATGTTAAATCGTGAATTTTAATCTTTGCTTGTTAGGAGCAATGACTGTAATAGATTGGGCTTTTGAAATCTGCATGCTCCAGTGTGAAATTTAAGCACGGCATTTTCTGCATCCTTTTGTGGCCAAAGGATTTTGCTGCAGAAATTATTAATGTGCTATTTTTCCTGTCTAGTGATTCAGGCTGCTCTGGAACCCAGGGCCTTGCTGCTGCAAAGCAGAGAGAGACAGTGTTGACCGAACTGAGGAGACCCTTGTTTCTTGTCTTCATAATTGTCACTAAACTGGCCCCTCTGTCCCTTCAGTGGCAACTCTGATCTAAGGGACCTAGTAGCAAGTGCTCAGAAGTTCTCTGTCCTAAGTGATCTCAGCTGGTTCTTTACTCCATTCCTGAAGGAAACACTAGGGGTCCCCCTCCCCACCCCCACCGTCCACCACATTTTTATGCTACAGTTTCATTCATGATTATGATTTCTCCATGGGATTTATTTTCCTGTTGGCATTTCTGTCATGGAAATAGGAAGATTTCGGAGTGCTTTGTTTGTAAAGATTTCAACTGTCTGTCTCTCTGACTTGTATGAAGGAGATTGTACATTTCCTGGTATCTCTTTGTAAATGAGAAATACTGTTAACATCCAAGCATTCTGAAGTCTTGCTTGTCCTTCTGAGTTTCATTTTCATTTTATTTTCCATTTTCTTTGGGGACTTGGGGCAAGCTATTTATTAGAGTTTTGCAACAGAGTTCTTGTTTGGAGCCTCAAAAGACTACTTGTAAAATTCAAACAATAAAATTCATTTTAAACACTCTTTTAAAATGCTTTGGTGTTATTGCTGGATGTTTTCTTATTTGAAAGACCACCCTGTAACTCACTGACCTCCTTGCATCCTCATTTTTTTATTAAGCTCCATTAACACCAAAGATGATTCTTGAAACATTTTCATAATTTTAATAAGCTTTCTCGTTCTCTGTTCACATGTCCATGGAGAATTCCTATTTTGCCTTCTCTGCTATGATTTAGTATTTGCAGAGCACTTTATAATTAGCGGCCTCTTCATTATCCACTTGTGGATTTTCCACAACAGTATTGTCATTCCCTGAGACGGACACATTTTTGGACTGCCTACTACCCCCAACCCCCAATTCTCAGCATCAGATGTTGTGCTCAGGGAATACAAATGCCTGTTAATATCAGAGTGTGCAAAATATAATTAGAAAAGTTGATCTACTGAAAAAAATCAATGCATTCTAAAGTCAGTGATTTCTTTTTAATCCAGCACATCACTGTTACCCTCCAGTAGTGCAGCTAATTGAGAGCTGGCAGTAGTTTCTTCTATTTGGTTCAACACTTCTGCAGATTCTAGAATTGCAAGACTAGGATGAGAGCAGATGTCACAAAATATTCTGATTGACAAGCCCAAAAGTTCTGTTTAGACCATGACTCTTTACATGGTTTGGGATGCTTGGGGGAAGGTGCCACTGGCTTGTATTGACGGAGGATCTGTGAGCAGATTACAGGTGCCAATTGGCTCAAAATCTGCAGGTGATAACCTAGGTGAGGAGGTTACTAACTTCATAGATGTGGATAAAAATGATACTACAAGGGCAAAGAAAACAGGCAGGACAAGTTTCAGCAGTCTTTACCTAAAGGAAGAACAATGACCCGAAGTCGGATTCCTATCTCTTAGTGCAATATTGTAGCAACACTCAGGTACTGCTTCTCCAGAATGAACAAAATTGAGATTTAAGTGCAAAATGGCATATCTTGTCAGAAACACAGCCAGTAAAGACTTGAACATTATTAACGTGAGGTATGTAATCAGAAAATAATGATGCCACCTAATCTTGGATACATTTCCAGTAAAATAATTTTGCCACTAATGGCCTGTCCATGGGAATCATAGTTGATGAAAGACATTTGACTTAGACTGGGGCTCAAACCCCATCTGTTAGAATTAGTGTCCTTAGGTAAACTACCTGTTTTCTGTGAATGTGGTTTCCTCATTTAGTAAAATAGTAACATGTAAAGTCAGTAACTGCCAGACCACACACACATCTCCATTATGATAAGGCTTTTCTTGCTTTCCAGGAGGGTGTCCTGCCATGTTATCCAAGTGGGCTGGAAGAATCAGGATGAGCTGGTCCACGGTGCTGAGTATCCATCAGGTGCTTTTAACCCTTGGCTGTATATTTTAGAACAGTGACTCTCAGACTTGGGCTTGCCCCATAATCACCTGAGCAGTTTGTTAAACATAAGTCACTTGGAACTGTGACTTAACAGATATGGAGTAGATCCCTAATATTAAAATATTCTACTCTTTCCCAAGTGATCTTGGGATCACGTTAGAGGCAGCACTGGCATTGAAATAAGTAGGTGCACAGGCACTCACCCCTGTGCATTCCTGAGCATTGCTGGCAGGGCCACTGACCACAGCACCTTGCAGAGGTGCTTAAACTGTCGGTAGAGAGTTTTGTTAGATAAAAGAGAACTCTTCTTTTTACTGCAAAGGTAATTTGGAGCTTTTGTGTGGAAGTTTTGGCATTTGATGTTTTGAAAGTCCTGTGTTCCTAAGATGAGGCTAGAAACCCATTCACCACCAACAATTACCTGAGTCCAGGTGTCAGGTAAGCAAGCGGTGACCCCAGTGGCTTTGGGGTGACAGTCTATGGCAGTGTTGCTGAGAAAGCCAGAACGTGGGGTGGCAGTTGAAGAGCCCCTTCGCCAGGCCGTCAGCAGGTGACCAGGAGACTGGGAGACTTGGTTCCAGACTGCGAATGTTGAATTCAAGTCACCAACTTCCAAATTCAGCCTACTTACCTAAATCTCCAAGAAACTATCAAACCTCAATAGTAGCAAGAAAATTTCCAAGCTGCCCTATACCTGGCCCACAGGAAGAAATGCACCTAAATGCACAGTAGTGATTTTCTCTGCTGCTTACCAGAGAGGACAGGAGAGGCAGGAACGGTTGTTTGTCCTCTGTATCCTTTGTATAAACTGTAGCTCAAAGACTTGAGGGCACCAGCTGTCTTTTTCTGAGATGATAATTATAGCCTCAGCCCCTTATTGCTGTCCTCTGCGCTGTGTTCCCTTGATTTCTTGTCGGATTATGGCCTTCCAGTCTCATCCTTTCAAATTGAGTATCTTCTGCCTTGCTGTGCATCTATCTGAGTCATCACACCTGAGACCCAAGAGGGCTTTCCACTTTCCCCTTCTCTCGTTACGCCTCTCACTATGCCCCATCATCCGCATTTGCCTTCATCCTGTGAACACGGACCTCTGAAATTCCTTCCATCACTTAACTCTAAATGAGTGCATCTCATTATGCCTCCTAACCAGCCACTCTGCCACGCACAGCCCCGCCTTTCAATATAGGCGGTTCATTTTATCCTTCAGTTTTTTACCTCTCGTGACCCATTTTCCACTAAATGACCTCCCTAAGCTCGGGTCACCTTACTCAGAATCTTTAGATAATGAATTCCTTCAGCATCTCGCCACATGTTCTGTTAATGCTCTATAATTCCTTTTCCATAACCAAAGTGCTGGCTTCTTTTCAATGGGCCGATCATCTCATACATCTTTTAGATCTTGTCACCATTCCCCCGAGTCTCTAATGCACTCACCTAGTCACACCTCTTAGGCATTTCATAATTGAGCATTTAAGAAAAGCATCACAAAATGGATATCTGCCAATAACCTAGATCCCTTTGCAAAATAAGTGGTTTGGGAGGGTATGGGTTCCCTGGATCAGCACCCACACATCCAGTGCCTGCCCATTACCGTAAGCACTTCCTCTCACTGCACATTCAGGGAGATTCTGTTACCCAAACCAAGGAAGCCATTTCCTTCCTCAAACCACTATCACATCACACACAGGTATACACACACTCCTGTTCCCTATGTTCCAGGGCGGGGCAAAAGCTCTGAGGAAATACAGTTAAGAAACAAACTACATGTTACTAATAGTTGCCTGGAGGTGTCCTGTAGTCACTTGACTTAGGAGATAGGGTGGATTTGTAACCGACCTTGTAATTTTTCTAAAGAGCTCAAGGGTATTTGAAAACAGTTCCTTCTCCTGAGAAGCTTAAGCATTGCTCTTCAAGCTTAGACCATGAAAATGCTCAGCAATCTCTTTTCTTTCGTTGGTACAAAGATCAACTCAACCCAGTGGAGGTACATTTCAAACTTAGGAGGCTATGCCTA